AAGGGGACTGCGCACCTCTGTCTGTTTAGAGTGTAGCGTGAGGGGCTGCGTTCGCGCGGCCCCGTTAATGTGGTTAACAGTATATGTCTAGTAAATATCCACTGGTGCCTATTATCAGGCAGCCTTTTCAACCAACCTTATCGTGTCTGACCATTTAAGTTGTATTCGTCAGTGGTGATATGTGCTACCTGATTCGTCCGGGTGTATAAAACAATGTGGGAAAACATGCACATTTAGGTTGCCTCTTGACTGTGAGCGAAGGCCAAGGGCGTGGCGCATCCCAAGGAATTGGATTTTTAAACTTCCAGGGAGAGCAGGGAGGTTGATCTGCTTTCATGCTTTCAATGGATCTCTCGGACTTTAATTCCCACCAACAATTCCTCCATTAAATGTCCTTTTTTAGGGATGCACCAGGCTGAGCACACTATGCGTAACCGTCTCGCATACGGTACACCTGGGTCAGGGCACAGGGCCACCGACGGCTCATAAACTTACCTGGTCAGACACGATAAGGTTGGTTGAAAAGGCTGCCTGATAATAGGCACCAGTGGATATTTACTAGACATATACTGTTAACCACATTAACGGGGCCGCGCGAACGCAGCCCCTCACACAAAAATTTAGCTGTTGGCGAACTTCAATTCGAAGCTGCCACACGGGTCAGCCCATGCTAAAGTGCAATGCATGGGCCTCACCATGGGGGTCCCGCCTTCATGATCGCGAGACGCCCCCAGCCAGGTAAGTTTATGAGCCGTCGGTGGCCCTGTGCCCTGACCCAGGTGTACCGTATGCGAGACGGTTACGCATAGTGTGCTCAGCCTGGTGCATCCCTAAAAAAGGACATTTAATGGAGGAATTGTTGGTGGGAATTAAAGTCCGAGAGATCCATTGAAAGCATGAAAGCAGATCAACCTCCCTGCTCTCCCTGGAAGTTTAAAAATCCAATTCCTTGGGATGCGCCACGCCCTTGGCCTTCGCTCACAGTCAAGAGGCAACCTAAATGTGCATGTTTTCCCACATTGTTTTATACACCCGGACGATCAGGTAG